ATTAATAAGAAGAAACGGAGAAAATAACAGTTGTCTTCACTGCTTCTAGAAATGACATGATGGAATTAACTGAAGAGAATGCATTAGTTCCCATTTTTAAATTTATAACTGATGTTTGGAATTGAATGTGTTACCATGTTTTTCTCCAAAGGCCACGGCGTAGATTGAGAGCAGGGTATTTTCTCTCTGAATAATAGCTACAGATAGACTTGGAAGCAAATAATAATCACATCAGCTGCCAACTAAAGGAGACGTACAAAGGAGAGAAAGCCACAGTGCCTCATCACACATGTTACAAGCTCTTTGTCTTCCTCTTCCCTCCCCGTCATCCTTCCTTGCCAGCTGTTCCTCTCCGTCTCTTCCCCACCGGGAGTCACATGAAACCCAAACAAGATGCTTCCTAATCAAATACAAAAAATATAGTCAGTTTGTGTTAAATTAAAACCCACATAAAATCCCCAGTAAAAAGGATCTGCAATAAGGTAATTAAATTCAGTTTGGCAAACTTTTATTTGATCAAAAATTCGAAGCTTCCTATAAAATGACGCAGCAAAAGATGTGCTTCCACTCGGTGGTTCTCTCTCACATCACCTGCTGTCTGATAAGCTGGCCTGATGCAGATTCTATAGTCCTGGATTATGCTCGGTTTAGCTGCTCCTCCTCTGGATGAGTTCATCAATTTCACATCTACTGCAATCAGAGCTACTTTGGGTGCAGCTGGAAGAGACCGCACGATCCAAAAAGCTATACAGATATCCAGGCCGTCTTTTGTTCCAGAGCTTCGCATCGAATGGAATTTAATACCAAAATCAATTAAAGAGTCCACACCCTATTTAACTATACTTTCAAGAGATGATTTAATAAGATCAACAATGTCTTCTCTCATCTTTAACGAGTACAATCATAGCTGTATTCATGCTATAGCCATATTTTAAAGCATATTATATTTACTGTATTTAACTACATTTACCTAATTGTAATGTCAACATCAGGCCAAATCCTTTTGACTAACTCTGGTACATTTACGTTTATTTTAATGATGATTTTGAATTCAAATGAACATTTTGCATCTGTGAGATAAAACCAAAGTGCAGATACACAAACCAGCATTTCTTTGTTCCATTTCATCTCTTTGTTTGTTTGCTGTGGGGGTCATGGTCCACTTATGTCAGTGAGGAGGGCAGATGCTCCAGTTACAGCTGGACTTTAAAGCTGCAGGGTGCAAAAAAAACCAAAACACATCAGCCACAGAGAAAAAAGACAAACATTTGTATACATGTTGCGTGTGTATAATTACTTCCTGTAATTGACCACGTCCCTACATTTAGGGCTCTTTGTCCTCCTCTTCCCTCCCCATCATCCATCTTCACCAGCTGTTCCTCTCTGTCTCCTCCCCACTGGGAGTCACGTGAAACCCAAACAAGATGCTTGCTAATCAAACGAAGTGCAGTCTATGGATGCTATGTAATGACACCACCTTTAAACGCGGACCGTCGCCGCTCTGCTGCCCTCTGCAGGTTTATTCCCAGACATGCGGATGAGCTGGAGCTGGACGTGGACGATCCTCTGTATGTGGAGGAAGAGGAGGATGACTACTGGTACAGAGGTTATAACATGCGGACCGGAGAGAGGGGGATCTTCCCCGCTTTCTACGCGCATGAGGTCATTGGCCAGTCCAAGGAGCTGCTGGGTGAGCGGAGCGAAAAGCATCTTTTGTTTGGTGTCATTGTGTGGATTTCAGAAGAATCACACTTTCTGTCACATCATGCAGGGATGAAAAGGAATCCGGCGTGGATCGAGACTTTCAGCGTTCAGTTTTTGGGATCTGTCGAGGTACCTTATCACCAAGGCAACGGCATCCTCTGCGCCGCCATGCAGAAGGTAAGAGAAGCAGAAAAACATCCCTCATACAAAACAGACAAGATTAAAACTGTTTTGACACATCTTTTTTTGTTTTCTGTTAGATTGCAATATCGAGGAAACGGACGGTACATGTGCGACCTCCTTCTCTCTGTGAGTTGGAAATTAGCTTGCAAGGAGTTAAGCTAATCATGAGCCTGGAGGACGAGTATGACACCCTTGATGAGGTAAATAAACAAACGAATCAATCAAATCGCCCCTTTGGTGTGGAATAACATTGCCCTGACACAATGTCTTCCTTCCTGCCTCTGCTTCTCTCTCTCTCCGTCTTTAGTACGACAGATGTAGTCACTTCTTCCAGATGAAGAACATCTCGTTCTGCGGCTGCCATCCGAGGAACAACTGGTAAACAAAACCCACGGGCCCCATCCTCTGCCGTCCTGTTGCCAGCGTACAGCGGGACAGCTGACTGATTGCATCATATTGTGTTTTTGTCTCTCCGCAGCTACTTTGGCTTCATCACTAAGCATCCGATGCTGAACAGATTTGCTTGCCATGTGTTTGTATCCCAGGAGTCCATGCGACCTGTAGCAGAGTGTGTTGGGTGAGTCCAGATTATTACAGCAATTAGTCCATATCGAACACATAATATTTATGTCTTTTAGGCAGGGTGTGTTACACTATATGTCATGTCTGTTTGAGGTTAGCTCGATTAAAATGCTCTGTCAAGATTTTGAAAATGAGAACACGCAAAACTAACTCTCATGATTTTTAAGATGCTCCGTTTCGTTGTAATTCTCTGGATTTAAGTGCATTTTTACTACAAAACACTGTCGACTGTTGCAGAATCTGGGTTTGCACATCAGCCTTATATATGTGTGTGAGGTTAAATGATTACAGAACTAGTCCCGTCCTGTTCAGCTATACTGGGTTTGAATAATTAAAGATGAGGCTCCTTCACTGTCTGTGGATGCATTAAAAGCTGCCAGCTGACTATAGGACGGGCGGAATCAGCGTCTCATCCTGCTCTCCAACCACAAGAGCACCACTTATGAAAATCATTTTCACTAACACTATGTTTTCTGTAGGATTCTGTATTTGTTTCTTGGGAAGCTGGGAACGACAGCGTAAAATCAAATCTCATAATGTCCAACATGAGCTCATTAGTTCTCATACGTTTGCCTTTTTCCCGCAGACGAGCCTTCCAGGAGTACTACCAGGAACATCTGGAGTACGCCTGCCCCACCGAGGATATCTACCTGGAGTAAGAAGAGTTGCCATGACAACCTTCTTCCTCTACAGCTTGTGTATGTTCATCAAGTTTGCCACCAGAGGGTGCTGTCAGTGGGGTTTTTTTTCCTGCTCCATTGTAAAATACTCTTCTGTGTCCTCTAAAACTGGGATCCTCATTTCTACAGTATGCTTGGCATCTGACTGATTTCATTCATCCCTCTCTCTCTCTCTCTTTTTGTTTATTTCCATGATGTCGACGGATCGATTGCCTGTTTCTTTGATCTTTTTCTATGATATAAAAACTAAGACGCTGAGCACCTGTTTATTTAAAGGTTCCTCTTTTGAAATGAGAACAATATACCTACTACTGCTGTATCACTTTTCAATGCATGGCTAGTAGGGTTACTGCACACAGACACACACACACGAGAAACACACATATCCAAGTGAATGGCAAGCAGCTCAACAATCAGTACGGGAACGATTGGTGTAGAAAACAAGAGGTCGGCGTTTGAATTAACTGTAAATATGTTTTTGTTTCGATTCTGACAAAACAGCTAATTTGATTTCTACTGATAGTGACATTGGAGTGAAGTAGAGAAGAGTACAGTGAGCGGTCCTTGGTTCAAGCTTACCCCCGTGTCGCGTTCAAAACGTATTGTGTGTTGTAAATACATGTATAGAAAGTAGACATACAGGCGTCTCATCCAGACTAATTAAGAAGCGCTCACAGTTGGTGGTCGGGATTTCGTTCTTACTTTTAGATGTGGGTAGTAATGACTCACTCTGACGGGAGAGAGAGAGAGTTTTGGAGGGTTGACTTGGAATGAACTTCGAATGTCGGTAGCTCTGCAGATATTTTATTCAGCTTGGATTAGGCGCAGTAACTGTCAGCAAATTTGAATGATATGACAGACACCATTTTCACTTTTGTCCAGTCCTCAAAGTTGCACTGCTTGTTGACCTTTACCGTGGAGAGCAAATCATCCAACTGTTAAAACTGGCAAAACTCATAGATCGCTGTATGCTTTGCTATGACGGATGTGACTTTTTTTGTAGGTGGAAGGAAAGCTAAGGCCCTCTGACAAGCCATATTCCCACATCTCTGACTGTTTAACCCTGGTTTTCAGTGACGTGCTAGTCTCCGTTTTCTTTTGACTTGGCGGTTTCAACGAGGGAAAAGGAACGACTAGATAGCTGCATGTCAGTAACAGCTGCACAATGGCGTGCCTACTGTACAGCGCGTGTCCTGCTAATTCTTGGTCCTGGTATCACAGTGGAATCAAACCTTTAATCAAGCATTAAAAGGGAGGTTTTATAGTTATGTAAATGATTAGACTTTCATTTTTAAGTATGGTGGATGAAAGGGATAGTGAAACGATCCCACGTTTATTTATTGCTTTTAGTCTGATCAAAAGGTTCATTCACATGTTACACAATAATCTAGTACGGGGTTGTAGTTTCATACCATAGCTTACAGTCTAGCACCTTATATAGAGAAGGGGGGGTGTTCAAAAAATAATGAGGCAGTCACTACTGTCGTCTGTTTCCTCAAATGTCAGGCTTTGAGGTTCACCACCCCCCCCAACCATCCCCGTCGTTCTTTCAGACACTGTCGAGCATCTTGTTCTGCTGCTTTCAGTCACAAACACATCCGATCCGCAGGATTTCAGTGTTAAAAGTTCACTGAATGTCGATACGGCAGGAGGGAGGGTATTATCTACATATGTATCGCTGTCAGTTAGATCATGTATATACAATAGCAAATCTAAGATAGTGCTGTGTCCTTTATGTTGAGTATGTTATTGAAATGAATATGTACATTAATTAAAAAGAAATTTTAAAAAAAGATCACGACGAGACGAAAAACCCCTAAAAGAGAAAAAAAAACAAAACACATAAATATCTGTGATCTGCAATAATTTTATTTCAGTGTCTTACGTTTCGACACAAGGTGTTATCTCAGTCTCTGTCACACGGGTGGCGTTTGGGTTCCTGCCAACTCCATAACTCTCCACAGACAGGCTTCAGCAGCACATTTAGGGCACATTTGTGAGATGTGACATCACTAGTGTGTGACACACCCACCAGATAACTGACCAATCTGCTGTTAGAGCTGAATAGTGACTGAGTCAGCTGCCACTGGAAAACTATTATTGTGTCTTGCCGATTATAGTAATCGCCTTTGAGCTCCAACAGTGTGACCCATCTCTGATCTGTATCTATTTGCTTCTGATTATGTTTTTCTATCTTGTTACAGCCTAGTTGAAATCCTTCTTTTCACACAGCTACACAAAAACAACCTCTGAGGATGATCTAGTCCCATATAGCCGCTGAGAAATACATTAACAGTTAAACCAACTTCTGACTTTATTACTTTAACAAGATTCTTCACTGTATACCTAGAGCAAAACAGTATGTGACAGAACAAACATATCCTATCTTGTATCTTTAAAAACAAGGACTTGTAAAATTCAAGGGAAAACAAAGAAAAAAGAAAAAAAAACGACAAAAAAATCACTCTGCCTTGTCATGGGTTTGGTCTTATGAATAAAATATATGCTTGATGTCCGAAACCTGGATTATTGTCTTTATTCTTCAGGTTACTTTTGATTGTATTTGTGATTGAAATTAGATTTTCACATATTAAATCTATAGAAGTATTTGATCGCAAGGAATAATAGGGTGAAAGTTAGAATTTCAAGTAGAAGAAGTCAGAAAAAATACAGTACTTTGTCATTCATTAGTTTAAATGTTGCAAGTGCTAAACATGAATAAAATCATCTCCTCATTGAGGAAACAGATTGCAATATTACTTTTCAGTAAGAGCAGTAATTAAAGCTTAACTGTCCACAAGCAAGCAGCAAAGCAAATTTCTGCGTAACATCCTTGTGTTTTCATCCAGTAACGTAAAGGTAAAAATCAGTGCTGTACCTCCAGTCTTTCCCTCAATGTCTCCACAGCAGCTGTGATCATTTGTCCCATCAGCAGCGGCAGCAGCTGGGTTTGGGGCTGCACTGAGGGTTGCAGCAAGGCGCGAGGTTCGGGTCCGTTCCTTTTGATATCTGGCTCTCTCCGAACACCATGGAGGCTTCGAATTTCTCTTTAACGTTTTTGATTCGCTCCAGCACGGCCTGGAGGTCGGGTCTTCCCTCCAAGGGGAGAGGGTAGTGCTCAGAGGGGTCGGCCTCCAGGTCAAACATCAGAGGGGGGTCGTGGGCCTTGAGGACAGCGAATACGGGGCAGTCTGGGTCTGGAGTGGTACCGCTGTGAGTGGCACCTGAAGCAAAAAAAAACATGCAGGAGTGAAAACCAGCTCAGCTCTGACTGTGTGATGATGATGAAGTTGTGTTTAGGAAGCGTACGACCTCTTGTATAGAAGTGGGCCTTGTACTTCCCCAGCCTGAGAGCAAACAGGCCGTACTTCTCACTGGGATCTGTGGGGTAGAACATCATCGTCTCCCTTTTACTCTGCAAAATAAAACATGCATCAGCTTGGTTTTTACACTGTTCAAATCTGATCAGAATTAGAGGTACAATGTCGCTACCTTTCCTTGGTTGACGAGGATTTCTGTCATATCGACTCCATCCAGCATCACCTGGGGCAGCTTAGCGCCCACCAGGCCTGCGATGGTGGGGAGGATGTCCAGAGTGCTGGCCATCTCGTGGGTCACACCTGAAGAGACGCATTCAGGAAAAGTGTGGGGACAAAAGCAGCAATCACTAACACGGTCATGCATCGAATTCATTTTATGATATTGTTTACTTTTATGCTGAAGTGAAAGAAGACTAGTTGATGGTGGGAACACATGAAATCAGCATAAAAGTGTAATGATGTGCTTTTGGTCAGCAGTAAAGTTATGTGATTGAAACAAACACTACTTATGAGGTGTGTCAGAAAAGTTCCGGCACTGGCGTCACAAAAGATATATTTCAAACCCAAACTACAAAACTATGAGTTTTCCCCTTTAGACGATCAACCAGCACGTCTACAAAGAGATCCTGCTGTGTTTGCTTCGTTCAGTGCGTGAGAAGAGGTGACGGTTGTGGCAGGACAAGTCGTGGCTGCTTCACAACGCCCTGAGCATCCGACAGTTCCTGGCTGAGAAGAACATCGCTGTGCTGGAGCAACCTCCCTACTCACCCCACCTGGCTCCGTGGGATTTCTTCCTCTTCCCCAAGCTCAAGGGGGTCATCAAGGAGACCCGTTTTGAAGATGTGGACGACATCAAGATGGCTGTGACGACGGAGCTGTGGAGGATCCCGGAAGAATCCTTCCAGGAGTGCATGGCGGCGTGTCAGAGAAGGCTGGGGAAGTGTGTTAGACTCCAGTGGGATTACTTCGAAGGGGAAAACTTGGATTTGAAATATATCTTTTCTGACACCAGTCCTGAAACTTCTCTGACTCCACCTCGTATACACAAACTGGTCTGTGTAGATCTAGGTTAGTGCAACAGCAAAATATTTTAGTTTTCACATCGTTTAAGTCTACTGACCCGGCCTGATGGTTCCTGGCCAGTAGGCGATGGCTGGCTCTCTCATGCCCCCATCATATGTGGTACCTTTTCCACATTTCAGAGCGCCAGCATTACCTCCGCGGGACATACGCATCAGTTCAGGGCTACACACACCCAGAGAGAGAGACAGAAATAACACACCATTTTATACAACACAAAAGATGGAATATCATAAGAAGGCAATACATTTAATATAAAAGAGGGTAAGGAGATTAAATAACTTGACCTTTGAAAAGAGGGAAACACACTAGTGTATCACAGCTTTGGGGGAGAGGATTAGATGTCAGCATTAGATATTAAAATCAAAAACCCTGGAAGCTTGAATCACATTTTTTATCATAATCCTCTTTAAATTATGCAATGGAAAAATGAAACAGACTACAATACGTAGATACAGTCACACACAGCATAAACATTTAAAGCCTTTTAGCTGCTATCTTCAGCAAAGGCTTCCCTGCCATCAGGAGCAACACAAGGTTCAGTGTCTTCTGGACTTTGGGGTGTCAGGAGATCAGCCCAGTGGACAACCTGCACCATAACATGAGCCCCAGTTAATAAACTAGAGTTGAAAACTGACCCGTTATCGGATGTAAAGAACACCAGAGTGTTGTTGATCACTCCTGTCTTCTCCAGGGTGGCCAGCAGGTTTCCTATAGTGGTGTCAAGCTCCAACAGAGCATCTCCAAATGGACCGCGTAAGGAGTGCCCGGCTGAACCTGGACCTGCATACTGAGGGTAGTGGGTGTGCTGTCGGAGAAAGTAGAAGAAGGTTCAATCATCTAATGCCTCATTTCACTCAGCAATCGATCAAGACGGGGTTGAAAACATCATGGATTTTAAAGACACACTTTTTAGTTCACATCATTTGACCAGAAAAGAGTTTTGGTTCCACACTGATTTAATTTTTTTGTAATTCTACCACAGACTGTTATTGTTGCTCACATGTGACGGATAGTAGAGGAAGAAAGGCTGCTTCTTCTTGGCTGACGTGGTTATGAAACTGGTTGCAAAGTCGCTGTAAGCTCTTTCCAGATCGAGGAAGTCGACCGGTTGCTGCTTGATGACTTCGTTGCGCAGCAGCGGGACGGTTACGGTGCCGACGTCACACGTTCCGAAACACTTCACATCTGGAGGGAAGCAAGTCAGGTTCCAACAGGGGCCCTGGCAAAGACACAAGGGAGACAGAAGAACAAAATATGTTTTATGAAGCTGTTTTTTTTTTTAAAACAAATACCATCACAGGTGATTACACACTGACCATGTCGTGGGAGTAAGGGATCCCCAGGTACTGGTCGAACCCCTGTTTGGTTGGAAGAAACATCCCATTGGCCCCAAATCCTAAGTGCCACTTCCCTACGGCGGCAGTAGCGTAGCCGAGAGGTTTCAACACTTCAGCGATGGTGGTTTCATTCAGAGGAAGACCCCCTCTGGAGCCTGGGTACAAGACTCCTGGGTAGACACCTGAGCGGGTCTGATAGCGGCCCGTCAGCAACGACGCCCTGAGAAGAAATAGTTACAAAAAACGTGGTTAAATGGGAGAGTAATGGAGGAGTGGAAGGTGTAGATTATTATGGAAAGACTGTCATTGTGAAAGCTGTGCTTCACCAGATAAGGAGGCCTAAGAAAGGAAAGTACTGCAATTAATAGAAGTGGAAGAAGGATGGAAAGTTGCAGAACAAGTGAGGCAGATTTAAACACTTTTAATGGATATTTCACCAAGAAGCTGTGGTTACCTTCCGATCCTCAGTTACAGCAAACGTTAAAGGAAACTTAACTGAGCGCTGAGTGACCCATCAGGTGTTTTTTCCACATTTTGATGATTTAAAACTGTCAGACATTTTTTTCCCAAGCCTTAATGGTGTTGGAAACTCACTTATAAATCTGTTACAAAAATGTGTTCTCTATTTATGAAAATGAAAAATAGAAGATTTCTGTGCTTTTATTTTTGTAGCCACATTAGAGGAGGTCCACTTCAAAAACCACTCTACCTAGACGGCTTAAGTCTAAACAAAATAATCCCAGAGAAGCAACCGAGTCTTTAAAACACCTCCTCCGAGTCATGAAAACTTTGTTCTATTTCACTGTTTCGTTTTGCATGTGCACCACATTAGATCAGGTGTAGATTTAAAAGCACCTTATTTAGGTGAATCAAATCTGGATCTAAGCTGCTGTGGTTCACATCTGGAAAAGAAGTCGTGAAATCTCCGTTTTTTCATTTTTCAAAAAAAAAAAAAAAAAAGATGGTTCATGATCACAAACTGTGTTTCAAAGACTCTTAAGCGCCTTTGAGACACTCTAACCCAGATTTCCCCCTTTTAACAGAAGTAGTTTTTGATTTGTAATTGGTTTAACGTGGCTCCAATGCAAGAATAAGTCTTTTTTTTTTTTTGCCTTTTCTCAACTAAAATGAAGGTTTCATTAATGGGGAACTGTGTTTTAAAGACACTGTAGCTTTCTACAATATTATAGCCCAGATTTAACCCATCTAAGTATAATGGGTTTTGATTTGGACCTTCTCTAATGTGGTCCTGAGCTAAATGAAAGCTGGGAAGTCATAATTTTTTACTTTTTTACAAAAAGAATACATTTTTTGCAAATATAGAGTGTATAAAAGACTCTTTAGCTTCTCTGGGACAATCTAGTCCAGATTTAACAAGTCTTAGTACAGCGGTTTTTGATCTGGAACATGTGTAATGTGTCTAATGTGGCTCAGATGCAGGGAAAAACCACAGAAATATATATATATATTTGTGTATTCACCACCAAGATGAAGGTTTCAAAAATGAGGAACTTTGTTATAAAGACACTTTCGCCTTTCTGGGACAATCTAGTGAAGAATTAATCTGTCTAAGTATAGTGGTTTTTGATATGAACCTGGAATAAGATGGATCAGAAGAGCAAAAATACAGCACAGAAGGCTTTTTATGTACTTTTAAAATCAAAGTTGCACAAATCAGAAACTCATCCTTTCTGGAGCAGTTTAGTCCAGATTTAACCAGTATGAGTGTAGAGGTTTTTGATGTGGCTCAGGTGCAAAGAAACCCAAAACAAAACCAAAAAAAACTCCCACAGAAATAAATTTTTGTTGCACTTTCAAAAAATTGAAACAAGACTTTACTCATTTGAAAGTGGGTTTCAGGAAGTATTAGGTGTCTAGCGCTGTTTTAAATCACTAGTGTTCCTGAAAACGGAAACTGTGAATCGGAAGCAAACTTCAGCGACTTCATTTGACCGCTGAGCCAATCAGAGATGCTGTAAAATCAGCTGTTCGTTTGTCTAGTGGTGATTATTTGTGGCTCTTCTCTTCAAACACAGTCACGAAATATTTCACAGTAAGTCGTGTATATACAGACAGACACCTGGACGGGCTGCAGACGGGGCTGGTGCAGTAAAAGTCAGTGAAGCGGAGTCCTGCAGCTGCCAGACGGTCCAGGTTAGGAGTCAGTGAACTCGGGTGTCCGTAACAGCCCAAATCCCCGAAACCCAAATCGTCCGCGAACAGGAGGACGAAGTTCGGCGGTGAAGCTGAGCAGGTGGAAAAAAGAAGAAGATTCAAAAAGGTAAGAAGGCTGAAATCCATTCTGTGGCTTCTGTTATCTCAGAGAAGATAAGAAACCATCAGGTGCACAAAGAGGAACCAAAATAAAGCATCACGTGGTTGCTGCGTAAACCGTCGCACACCGTTGACGTCACGTACATCCAGGAAATGTAGTTTCATATATAAAGCGGGACTACAAAACGCTATTAAATCTCCAATTACGAAGGTTTTCAATGTTTCAAAGTAGTGTTAGTCATTTTAAGCTTATAAAAACGATTCGCAACTAATTAAGTTTGGACTCACCTGGCCACTACAAAGTTGCTCTTTGTTGTATCACAGTTGTTATTGTTCATTGTTGTTGTAAATAAAGATTTTTTTTATTTTATTTTTTTTTAAAGGTGGATCAAACCCTTTTCAAGCAGGTAAGGTAAGTAATTTCTCTGTATACCGTGTATTAGTTAGCTCAAGTGTGATTGTTAGGAATCAATGATCCTGAATTCCAATGTATGTTTTTATTTAGTGCATTCCTGAACAATTTCTGTCACAGAAAAGCACAAAACTGCAACTCTTAAGCAAGATATTGTTAAATGCACATGGTTCTGTGTCCAATCTTCATTTTCAACTTTAATAACAATAATCTAACATATATATCTATACTAGCCTCTGCTTATGTTACACTTCGGCTACTGATCTTAAGACTCTTGGGTCAAATTCCTCTTTTTTTGCTGACATAAACTGACTGCACCCAGGCAGGAATTCATACACCCACTTCAAGGGGTTGAAAATAAGAGAGATTGTTTGTGCTTTATTTATGAGTTGGACTCCAGAAACATTTCTTAAGGAATGCAGGGATTAAAGAATGCAAAAACTTTACTGTCATATGCAGCAAGTTATCAGCGCAATGGAATTCTTAGTTCTCTGTGTCTCTACCCAGTGCCATGACTCATTTAGACACACTCGCATCTGCTCATATATATTGAGGTACCAAATGTGAATATACAAGGACAGTACAAAAACATTATGTACAAAACAAAATTTTAAAGAATGTATAGAAAAGCATGTGCAATATTTATGTAGTATGTGCTCATACAAACTGAGGTGGGTGAAGTAGAGAGCGAAAAGGCCATGTGCAAAAGAAATGGTGTAAAACTAAAGTATGTGCAGTGCTTTAGGGTGCAAAAGTGCAGCATGTGCAAAAAAAATGTTGACATGTTCTGCATTCATTCTGATTACATCTGCTCAGCTGGACACATGTAGAATATTAATTTGTGCTAATGTGATGCACAGAGATGTACATGTGCTGCGAGTAAATGCAGGAGTATAGAAACTGCCCAGAAGGTCCTGAGCTGTTTTTGCACCCTGCACATCTCATGTTTTTTGTCTGCCTCTTGACTAAAGTTGTTAGTCGGAGGGCCTGCGGCTGAGTTTCCGTCCTCTGTGGCAACCTTGGTTCCTGCCACTGATTCGATCTGACACATGGTCAATTACGCAAACAAGAGGAGAAATAAATCACTGGTGCAGTGCCGCAGAAGCCACCAGTATGAGTAGAAATGGACGTCACAGCTGATTTTGTAATGTAGAGCGAGAGAGTGTACGGGGCCTATTTATTTATGTATTCTCAGATCCATGCTTCAGCAGGGTGGACGGGGAGAGAAAAGGAGGCCACTACCTGCATTTAAATAAGCCGGCATTGTGTGAGAAGGAGACACAGAGATGACATAAGTAGATTGAACACATACTGCTGCTTTTCACACAGTGCGTGTGTGTGTGTGTGCGTGTGTGTGTGTGTGTGCGTGCGTGTGTGCGTGTGTGCATGTGTGCATGTGTGCATGTGTGCACGTATAGCATATCATTTAGCTTGCACTCTGTCCAGCGTTGCTGTTTAGCCATGGGGAAATAGATACTTTTTGATTTACTATTCACTTTCACATGTCTCTACAGTACTGACCTACATTCAGCAACCAATGTGTGTGTGTGTGTGTGTGTGAGAGAGAGAAGGGGGGGTAGAGGATGGGAAAGAAGAAAAAGAGAGAATAGAAATAAAAATTTAAAAAGGCAAATGCTCCACAACTATTGATACAATTTTATCAGCTGTTTTTTTCATTTCCTGCTGCTACCTTGGATTTTTTTCACATTGTGTTACACTCACCCAACCACACACAGATGATGTTATTGTGCATTAGTTCTTCTTGTGTTTCTATTCTGGCCATTGTGTATGCAATCCTTGACCCACTGAACTGAGCAGAAGACAGCAAACATGCACACATGGAAGCTAAGCGGGAAAGACGCTGTTGCATTCAGGAGAGACAAAGAAAACAACACAATCACTGCGAGCTTTTGAGGAAGCGCTTCGCTGCAGGAGCTCCCTCCGTCTAATCTGTTGGAACACCGAACCCTGGAAACATCACTGCAGGGAACAACACGGTTCCACAGCCCCAGACGGGAGCCGCTGACAGTCGGCGAAAGGTTCTCATTTTAAATTTAAGATCACAAATGCGTTGCTCTGTTCAGGTAAATAATGAATCAATCATCAGTCCAGTAGGCTGTAATTGGATACCCAGAAGCAGCCGTCATTAGGAGCAAATAATTGATCATGACTATTAAAATTTTGCCACCTCTAATGATTTGTGAGGGCGTTTTGCAGACGGCCCAACTAATGGTTTTTGCATGTGTCGCACAGAAGAATGAGGAGAGTCGCTGAGGATAAACGACAGTCTGTGTGCTGCACGGCTCTGCCTGCTCTTTGATTCAGTGAGAGATGACTGCTCTGACCTTTTATTGCTAGTAAATGAAAACTGTTGTTGGTGACAAACACAGAGCGGAGCGAGTATCGTGAAGCAGCTGAGGCTACAGAAAGGTCTTCACCCCGCAGCCTGTGTCGCAATTTGTGTGAGCGTCCCTACGTTGACTAATCATCAGCTGCCGTGTTGTCTGTTTCCTCAGGATGGTGTTGTTGTTCGGGATTGAAATTTGGGTATTTTTTATATAAAATAGGATGTCCTGCCAGAAAAAAGAAAAGAACCTCATCTGAATTAATGTCCCATGACAGAGTCTGTGTATGAGTGTGAATCTTGGGTAGCTTTGTTTTGTTTTTTTTGCTTGGAACATCTGCTTTTACAGCCTGTGGGAGAGGAAAGTGTGTGTCTGTGCACTTAGAAAAAAAGTGGGGAGCATGTGCATATATTGTGAGTGCTTCGGGCAGATGGAGGTGTGGTACAAAACAAGCCTGCAGAGCTGATGGAGAAAATGAGTCCCCCTATCCACTGTCATCCCTCAGGACAAAAACACTGAGAGAGGGAGACCAGCTTCAGAACTGCAGGGAAAATCTATCTCTCCCCACCTCTCCATCCCCTCTTCTTACCTCCATTATCTCGTCTTAAGAATAAGTTGTGCTCTGATTTTCTGCGCCTTTCTGATAGTTTATTTCGCTCCGCAAGAGGCACAGCGGGAATTAACCGGGATCCGAGCCAACGGTAAACAAGCGATTGTGAAAAACGCATCTCATTTTCTTCTTCTTCTTGCTGTTCGTCATTTCACACAATATTAACAGTCTGAACCTGTGAGTCAAACTGTGAAGGATTCTGTAGCAGCACTTGGTGGAAAATCAGCTCGGTGAGGTGCGGGTGAGCTGTTCTGGCACCAGTGGGCGCCATCAGATCATAGTTTAGCTCCTGGTTTTTTGATCTCAACAGTTTCTGTGATGGGAAGAAAGAAGATTTTTGCCATTATTTCACCAGACAATGTGATCTCTCATGTTATGCTGAGCTATTTACCGAGTGATAATAGGGCCATAAGATTTGTATGAGTAGCACAGGTTAAATTGTGCTTTTGCTGGCTGACATTAAAGCTGCACTTTCATGTCTTTGTGTAGTTTCCTCATGCTGGCCTTTAGAGCTGAAGTGTCATGAAGTCTTGTGCTGTCTTTGCTCCAACTTGCAAAGTATTTGAGAAACGCTGAGATGGATGGATGGATGGATGGATGGATGGATGGCTGGATAGATAGATAGATAGATAGATGAGGAGGAGATGGAGAAAGAGAATGAAAGATGAGGCCGTGAGGATAAATCAGCAGATAATTCAGAACCATGGACAGCTCTTAATACTTTGATTTCGCTCTGCCTCCGACAGCAGAACGTCCCCAAATGAGCGTGCCTTCCATTATCTTCCCGTCACGCAAATGCATTGTGAGCGGCGTGCAGGCCGGCATCTTTGAAGTTGCTCCTGAGAGAAGATGCGGCGATAGTGATGAACGCGAGCGCGTTGTAAATAACGCCGAGACTGTTTCACGTCCTATAGTTTTCATTACAGACTTAACACAAAAAACTGCCCTTTATTGTGATAAATAGCAGTTATTACACGTTTTGTCAGCACGATATTAGAAAGTCATAAAAGTTTCATTTAGCTTTAATAGCAAGATTACGTTCAATATACCAGGAGGGCGAGGCAGTTGCGCGAGCCACGTTTCGTAACAACCTACTGTATGAGCAGGGATCAAACAGTGCTTTCGATGATAAAAAGTCATTGTTATTCTGGCTCGCGAGCCAGAGGGAGCAGTGATAGAGAACATCCTGGCAAATAAACAGAGGTTCATTGGCACAATAGAGGCTGGAACAGAGCGCAGAATTATGCAATGAAATCTAACAGGCCTCCACGGAGCAACATGAGCTGAAGAACTCATAAAAGTTTGAGGACCTGCCGGGGTAATATGCGCTTTTGTCGACGTTCTCGGCTCACACGCTGAGGCTCTCGTTGTGCTAAACATAGAGCAAATGCTTTCTTCATGTCACCTGCGCACAAAAAAAAGAAATACTGGAGAGACATTACAGTCAAAATGAAGGTGACTGTCATTTTGTCTTTGCTGCACCGACACACTCACACACACTGACAGTCAGATATAAAGTACAACACCTACGTTTGGAGTGTCTCTGTGCACTCCCTGCTTTTTCGTTTCTTTTTTTTTATGACACACTGCTGGTGGTAGTCATGACCTGCCCTTTCAACAATTTCCTCCACAACTGCCTGGTAATATTATAAAGAAAGGCAGTCTGATTGGCCCTCATGCCCACTGTCATCCTCCAACTACCCTCCAGCTGTCATCT